AGGAAGGAAGGAAGGAAGGAAGGAAGGAAGGAAGGAAGGAAGGAAGGAAGGAAGGAAGGAAGGAAGGAAGGAATTAAGAGAGCCTTTAAAGGAGCTGGGCTTGGGAATCCCAAAATCCCACACCTGTAATCCCAGATCCCACACCTGTGGTAGGAAGAGTGTAAAATCTAGCTACACAGCCAGATTCCGCCTCAAGAAAAGTCAAGTCTAAGAGACTCTTATCGCCAGTTAACCATCAAAAAGCCAGAGGTGGAGATGTGTCAAGTGGTAGAGTGTCAGCCTTGAGCAAAAAAAGCCAAGTGAAAGTACAAGACTCTGAGTTCAAGTCCCAGTTCAGGCACAAAAATGAAGTAAAATAAAGCCCAGAGAACCTCAGTACCTCATATAGAGTCTGACTGGAGTAAAATTCATCCTCTTAGAATTTACTCTCTCCTGGTTTACTGTAGTTGATTTTTTTTAATCTCCCAATCACCATCAAAATGTAGCAGTCCTTCCTTTCCTTCTTTGTCTCAATTGTATCTATTCATCTCTTCTTCTTCATTCCTAAAGCCAAGCATCCCATGGGAGTCTTTATATAACAACTAAATCTAATTTGCAATTTTTTCTAGGCTTTCTTCATGATGGTTATTCACCAGTTCAAAAAGGTGTGATGAAGCCAGGCCCAGTGGCTCACACCTATAATCCTAGCTACCCAGGAGGGTGACGTCTGAGGACTGAGGTTCAGACCCAGCCCACACAGACAATCTCCTAGACTCTTATCTACAAATAATCAGCAAAAAGTCAAAAGTAGAGATAAATGCAAAGGTAAAGCACTAGCCCATGAGCAAAAAGAAAAAAAGGAAGGAAGGAAGGAAGGAAAGCTGAGCAAGAACATGAGGTCCTGTACAAGCCTCAATATCCACACATACAAAAAAAGTGCAGTGAAAATAGGGATGTAAGTCAATGGTAAATTCTTGGCTATTTTTTACAAGGCCCTGGATTCCACCCCCAGCACTGACCAAAAGATGTGTAATGATCATCTACTGCTACTGACCAACAAAGACAGCCCAAGGATTTAACAAACTCTTCATGGCTGTTTCAAAATGGAGTCTTTTTTTCCTCTAAAATACAGGAAAAGATTAATTTCAGAACAGAAAACAATCATTTTCATGAATACAATTTTGAATTATAGCACCCTTCTCTTTCTCAGTTCACAGCACACTGGTAAAAATTTTGTTAAATACTGAGCTTGAGGCCATAGGGTGAATTTGGTAGATATTCAAAGACCTTTATGTTCTGCACCAGCTTGGATTCTACCTACAACAACCACTCTGACGTGTGGTTCCCTCCCAAACATGCCTGGCATTTCCTGTTCCTGTGTAAACTGTCTCCTCTAGCTCAAAGGCCTTCAAGTTCTCTTTAGAGTCTCCTTTGGAACTAGCAAATTCAATTGTTCAACTACGTGCGTGCGTGCGTGCGTGCGTGCGTGTGTCAATCCTGGGGCTTGAAATCAGAACCTGGGCATTTCCTGTTCCTGTGTAAGGCCTTCAAATTCTCTTTAGAGTCTCCCTTGGAACTAGCAAATTCAATTGTTCAACTGCTTGTGTGTGTGTGTGTGTCTGTGTGTGTCTGTGTCTGTGTCTGTGTGTCAATCTTGGGGCTTGAAATCAGAACCTGGGTTCTGTCCCTGAACTTTTGTGCTCAAGGAAGGCAGCTGTTCTACCATTTGGGCCACAGCTCCACTTTTGGCTTTTTTAAGTAGTTTATTGGAGATCAGTCTCTCCCAGACAATCCTGCCTAAGCTGGCTTTGAACATCAATCCTCAGATCTCAGCCTCCAGAGTAGCTAGGATCACAGGCGAGAGCACCAGGGAAAGTTCAGTTTTTGATGTTCAAATTGTGGGTGACTCTCCCAACAAATCATGTAACACTAAAAATGCTGCTTTAGAATTATTTTGTTAAAATTAGGATGAGCAGTGTTTTATTAAGAGACAAGAATAAGACCTAAAATTTTATATAAACTTTCACTGTCCTTACAAAAAGAAAACATTTTGGATGGGTACCAGTGGCTAACACCTGTAACCCTAGCTATTCAGAAGGCTGAGAATCACAATTCAAAGCCAGCCCACACTGGAAAGTCTGTGATACTCTTATCTTTAATTAACCACAGAAAAGCTGGGAGTAGTGGCTCAAGTGTTAGAGCACCATCATTGAGCAAAAAAGCTAAGGGACATTGCCCATGTCTTGAGGCCAAGTCCTAATAATACTGTCACAAGAAAAGATTCTGGGGCTGGGAAGGTGGCTCAGTGGTAGAGCGCTTGCCTTACATGCCTGAGGCCCTGATTCCTCAGCACCACATAAGCAAAAAGAAAAAAGCCGGAAGTGGCGCTGTGGCTCAAGTGGTAGAACGCTAGCCTTGAGCTGAAGAGCTGAGGGACAGCACCCAGGCCCAGAGTTCAGGCCCCACGACCGGACCCAAAAACAAAAACAAAAAAACAACTTGTGG